ATTGTATGAGAGAAGAATAAATAAAAAGAGGAAGAGAGGCAAGGAGCAGCAATTTGCCTACATCCTCAAATGATAATATAGCTAGCCTGGAGATATACCAGAGTTCATTAATCATTCTTTTCTTTTCACAATGGAGTACAGGGCTTACAATCTATAGACATTCACACACGAAAGGGTAACAGGTAAAGAAAAGTAAATAAAAAATATAGCATTAAGAAGGTGAGATAAATGGCCAACATTTCCAAGTTGTGAGGGATTTTCCAGTTTAAAAAAATTACTTTTTTCAAAAAGCTGCTAAACTTTAAGTACTTATACTAACAGATTATCAGTTAACTAGATTTTTTGTTTTATTTTTCAATATGAGTTTTATATTTTTAATTGTTTAAAATTTTCATACATGTATATATTTTGATCAAATACACCTCCCATTTCCTCCCCCTCCAATTCCTCTTGCCCAACACTTTTCCTTCAAACCTTGATGTATTCTGGTTTTAAATCCACTGAGTCTATTTAGTATTACTTGAATGTGCATGGGTGTAGGACTATCTACTGGGGCATGAGTAGCCTCTTAGGGACCAATTCCTGAAGAAAACTGCCGGTGGCCATGTAAAAGGTATAGCAGGTGGCAATTGAAGTTCAAGGTGTTAGTCTACCAAGAACAAAATCCTTGATTGATGAATCTGTTATAGGCAAGGCCCTGAGTCCACAGACTCCAGACTGTCTTTTGCTTCTGCTATGCCTTTACATGTTTGCTGCTGCTATCTTTCTCTGGTATCTGGCATGGTGTGAATGGGTATGGGGAGATTCCCCACTGTCTGTAATGTAGTGTGTTTATCTCATGGAAACATTCCATTCTACTGGGCATTTTTACCTGTGGATTATTATGAAGATGATTTCCTCCCAAGATGTACTGTCTAATTGATAATAATAATGTTAGTTGAAATACAGTTCTGATGATTAAAGATAAATCAAAGAAGTGTCATACAGCTAGAACACATGAGTTTCTATTGAGGAGCCATATAGACAGTGGCTTAGGTTAATGATTAAGAAAAGCAATTGAGTCCCAGGAGCCAGGCTGCCTTGAATTCTTTTAATCTTAATGTTGGAAGATGTATTTACAGCTTTGGTAGTACATCATAGCTGAAATAAAGCTTTGAAAATAACTGAAAGTTAGGCTAAGATGTTTTTGTTAAATAGCCTTGAGGTGAGAAACCTAAGAAGACAATTTAAAGTTTTAGAAAGACATATGGTTGAAGGAGGAACTCGTTAAGGTCAGGGAACAAGAACAAAGAAGCCCAATTACTATTAGGTAACATATCTTTCTTTCTAGGATTAGTTGATGACAAAAGGTAATGGTTAATTCTTTATACCTATTTCTGCTCTCAATCTCTTGGTATAAAAAGCTATTGATGAGTGGGTATGCATCCTAAAGTTTTAAAACAGAGCTGATTGCTTTTTATATAAAAGTTGAGAGTTGTGATTCTTTTAAGATTCCTTATACGATTACCTTTCAATATGAGCAATAAAGTGATTGGTTCTTCCTTTGTAACTGCAAAGTGCAGCCTTTCAGTGAAAGAACTGACTGAGAAGAAAACCTTGCTTGCTTACACTGTTAATCTATAATAAGTTGCTTGGGGATGAATGTATGTGGGTTCTTGGGATAATTTGTTTTACACCTGTAATATGTAAAATGTTTACGCATGTTAAGGGATATGGATAACACACTGTTTTTTACTTGTATTTATTGTAAGCATCCACTTGAAAAATAGAATGTAATCACATTGTGATTTTTATATTGCCTGAAAGATTTTGCTGGGGTATATAAGCCATAACAGAAAGAATAAAGATAGATTTGGAAGGAAAACATCAAGAATGAGAGAAGGAAATTACCAGGAAAACAAAGAATAGAGAATAGAGAAGAAAAAAGAAGGAAACCGTCAAGAAAGTGTGTGTGTCTTGCCCTTTTACCTTTCAGATAAAAATGTCTTAGTATGCTGACTTAGTGCACCAGGCAGCAAAACAAAACTGTCTCTTTCTCCCCGAGTAGCTAATAGCTCCTCAAGTATGGGTGGGACTTCATGAGTCTCTTCTTCATCCATGCTGTGTATTTTGGCTGGCTTGATCATGTGCTAAAAGTCGCAACAACTGTGAGTTTTGTGTGCAATGGCCTTGTCATGTACAGCAAGTACTGTTCTTACGAAGTTCATCAAAGAGTGCAAGTACCCCCTCTTCCTAGATGGTTTCTGAGTCGTGTCGTGTATGTGTACACGTGTGTGTGCTAGCGTGCATGTATTTGTGTGTGTGTGTGTGTGTGTGTGTGTGTGTGTGTGTGTGTGTGTGTGTGTGTGATATAGATGTCTTATGTGGAGCTGAGACATCTACAGGCTGTTTTGCTTTGTATGTTGATCAGTTCTGGGTCTAACCATCTACTGCAAAATTTCTCTGATAAGGGTTGATAGATATACTAATCTATGAGTATAAGACAAAAAATTATGGGGCAGTTTATTATTACATCTATTTAGTAAAATAATAATATTAGGTTCTCTCCAAGGGACAAAGATCTAGTAAGTCACAGGGTTTTTTTTTTTTTTTTGACCAGTAATGATACCAGGCATCAGTTCCATCTTGTAGAGTGGGTATTAAATCCAAGCAGAAAGTGGTTGGTCACTTCCATAGCATTTGTGGCACTTACAACAGTGGGATTATCTTGCCAGGCCAGTCATTATTGTAGCTTGTAGAGTTAACAGATGGTAAAGACTGATGATTCATTTTGTCCCCTGGAGGCTTGCATAGTATCATTCAGCACTATAAAAGCTAGCCAGTAGTGTTGAAGTTTCACAGTTAGTACAAAGCATTTTGATTTCTGCATGGTCTATGACTCAAGTATGTGATGCCTTCAGCAATAGGGTCTTAAAATCTAGTTCTGGAGGGTAACCAGGAGCAATGGTAATAGCAAATAATGTTTGGAGGTTGTCTAAAAGACTCTACTGACCAACAAATTTAAAGTGTTAAACATACCTGGGACTGAGGTTCTTATTTCATGGCATCCGATACCTGGGAGAGGCACTGTCCCTCTTATTATAGGTAATTCAATTTAAAGACATATACACGTACGCACACACACACATGCATGCACACATTTGTATGTTAGGAAGCTTCTACAGTAGCAGGTTTCTATGACTTTTACAAATGTCTTTAGTGTTAGTTATTCCCACCCAGTACTCCCTCTTCTACCCTACTATCCAATCCCTATGCCACTTAACCTTAAACTCAGTGGGTCACAATGAGGACATGAGAGTAGGAGGAGGACTTGTTGGCAAGGAGAAGAAATTTGGCTGAAGTAGGGGCAGATAAGAGAGGGTAACAAGTGGGGGTAAATATGATCAAAATTCATTTATCAAATGATCAAAGAATAAAATATTTAAAATAATCATTGTAAGCTTATGTACCCTACCTCTGAAGGCATAAAGGAAACAGAGCACTAAATTGTGTCTGTAAAACTTTTGCAGTTTACTTGTATAATATTTTAAGAGAAGGAATATGAAAAGAACAGCAGAAATGGAGGAAGAGGGTTTATATTTGTAAATGCTATCCAATTGCCAAAAGACAAGTTTGCTTAGAAATATCAAGTACTCTGGAGGCATACCATCTACATGATGAGTTCCCTGAATAGTCAAACCCAGTAACCCTTTGAACATTCAGTGATGTGTGTGTGTGTGTGTGTGTGTGTGTGTGTGTGCATGTGTGTGTATAAGAACTGCATGGATCTCAAATGTCTGAAAGCTGTTTGCAATTATTCCTCTTGTAAACACCAAACTGATCACGGCTTTATTCCAAGAGTTTCCATGACTCTTAATTTAATTTCTTGAGAGATGATATAGATGGAGACAACTCTTCCAGGATGATAAAACATATTTGAATTCCATTTCCATCTCATTATCATACTTGTGCTATCAAGTGATTTTGACAGTGTCTGGAGATGTCCTGTAGGAGACTGCAAATTCTCCTTTATTCATGGTAGACTACAAGATGAAGGTTTAGGGTTTCAGCTAAGCCCTTTAATGTGCTGATATAGTTAAATGACTGACCCAATGATCTAAGCCTCTAGCCCAAGACTCATCAAAGTATTTTCTACAGATACATACAATGGTGTTCCTGGGTACCTTTTTTCATGGGTTTTTAAGATTAAAAACTATTTTTATAGCAATACTATTTTTTTTTTTTTTTGGTTTTTCGAGACAGGGTTTCTCTGTGGTTTTGGAGCCTGTCCTGGAACTAGCTCTTGTAGACCAGCCTGGTCTCGAACTCCCAGAGATCCGCCTGCCTCTGCCTCCCGAGTGCTGGGATTAAAGGCGTGTGCCACCACCGCCCGGTTATTTGTTTTTTTCATTCCCATTTGTCTCACTAGTACAGAGACTTCAGGTGGCATGACACGTTATAATGGCATGCATCTGATAACGAATGGACTGGTACTTTTGTCTTTTTAACTTTTAAACATTTCTTGCTCTCAGTATCTAATATAATTAGTATTAGATTTTGGGGTCCGTGGTAACTTTTAAGGGTGTTAAGGCGCTTTTTTATAGCAAAAGATACAGGAGTATAACGATTAAAAGAAAACCTATAGAATGAGATAAATGATTTATTAACTATACATCTGAAATGGTGAGGTTGTTTAAATATATAGAAAACTTCAAAAATTCAATAGCTAAAATACAAACAACTAATTAAAAGTTGGCAAAAATTCTGGATTCACAGTTCTCAAAAGAACATATAAAATGGTCAAGAGGTATCTGAAAAGTTGCTAAATATCACTAGTATTCAGGAAGAAGCCAACTCAAACCACAATGAGGTATCATTTTGATCTAGCTAGAATTGCAATTATCAACACCAAAAAGCACAAAAGTTAGTGTCTATGTATACTGAAAAGAATGCTTATTATACTGTTTATATGAATCTAAATTAGTATATTCATTATGGGAAACAATACAACGCTTTTAAAAACAAAACTACTGTTTTATTTATATGCCCTCTCTGATTATATTACACACCAATGGAAAATTAAATCTGTTTATCACAGCAAATCTGCATGACCAGGGTTTTCAATATATTATTAACAGTAGCTAAAATAAGGAATCAACCTTGCTTTCCATTAACAGGTAACAAAAATGTGTCACAGTAGAATACTATTCAGTCATTAAATAGAAAAGCAATATTCCATCATCTGCTGAAATTGGAAGAAACTAGAAAATATCATAGGATATATTCAAAATATAAGTAAGCACATATTATTAGTCAAATGTATTATAAAAGATGAAAACGTTTCACAAATGTTGCTTTATCAAAATTTTGTCATTTCTAGAATATATGGCATTCTGATTTAGCAGAAGACAAATTACATAATATTAGTTTCCTTTTAATATGGAGATTACATTTCTTAACTACAGTGATTAATTACATCAAAAAGTTTGGAAAAGAGGAGGATCATATAACTTGGGAAGACAGTTACCCTAGTAGATGGATGACATTAGGTAATTTTGAAGCCCCTCTTTAACAGGTTTTTCCTGGTAAAGTAAGGATAATCTTCTGTTTCATAGAATAGGAAGGAGACAAAGTGAAACAAATGTTGACATAATATTGTTGTGTTGATACAAAATTCTGGTAGCAGGATGCCAAGTGTACTCATAATCCCAGGGCTTTCAATTTTAAGCATGAAGCCCCAAGAGACGAGCAGTATTTAGCACATCATCTCTTGTTAAATAGCAGCCACAGAGTTGGCGGTAACCAGTGAATGATTCCCTGCCATGAAGGATTCGCCAATTGTCTATAAACAGTACCTGTGAATGTATAAAAAAAGAGAGAGAAAACAATCAAAACTAGGGAAAATCATAGGGAACTTAAACCAGAAGAGCTCACTGAAAGATAAAGCTTTAGATTGTTCTATTAGTTACATTTGATGAAATATTTTTCTTTTGAAGTTAAGCAAATTAAAAAGAAAATAAGATGTTTCTAACCCCATAGCAGGCTAAATAGCAATTAAAAAGAAAATAGTTTATAAGCTCTGTGCACCTGAGAGCTTATACTCTTTGTGTAACTATCATTTCTTCAAAGTTAATCATGAAATTGTGTTTTTCTATAATCCTCAGTTTATTATTTCTCAATTATGTTTTGTGTAAAGCTGAAGCTATTCTTTAGAGGAAATATCAATGCTTAAAATGGAATTATTAAGCTGAAAGGATCTTAGTTAAATCCCTTCATAATTACAATAAGTGTCTGATGTTTAGAGATGACATGGTGCCTGTTTACAGATCATCAGTGAATAAATGGCAGGGCCAAGAACAGTACCTGAGACATAAGAAAAAATATTGTAATATGGTGATGCATATTAAACAAGTATCATTCTTCATTGATTTTATATGGCAAGTTTATTTGATATCTTTATAGAATTTAAGGACTACCTTTCCAGGCTTCAGTTTGACCCAAAGCTCATTCTCAGGCCTTCTCAATTCAGTTGTTAGGGTTCGGTGTGCTGTATACCAACGATGAACAACATCATAAGGAACAGTGTTGATGACAGCCCGGTCATAGTTGTTGTACCTTATATGGAATCATGAGAAATAAAGATCTCAGACACATGATAAAGACATTTACTGTTTACTTAACTGTTTTAGATAATACTGTCTCTGTTCCACACTTGAAACAACAATGAATCAATACATACTTAGGAATACAGCACCAGAGATAGGAATTCTACTATCTACTGGTCATATTTTGTTTTTCTTTGGAAATTCTGGTGGCAGGGAGTCAAAATTAAGTTCCAGTTGATTTTTCCCAACTCAGAATATGTTTTTTTTTAATCTGAAATGTGTTTCATGGAGAAAGTACTTCTTTGTCAAAGGGCATAAAATCAAAAGGAGATTTGAACTTTTTATATTAAACTAAGGAGGGCAAAATAAGCTGTGTAAACAAGGATATTTAACAAAACAGAACGAGATAATTCCACAAGTATTTCCTTTTGTGAGAAAAATACTAGCTATAACACAATAGACAGAGATCTTAACAGAGACTGTCATTTATTCAACACTGGCACTTACATGAGCACTTGCCATTGCCAAGGAGTTTATTAAAAAATAAATATGCAATGATGAACATAGGAGACATGATCCCAGCTATTGGGAAGTTTATATTCTATTGAAGATGCAAGTTTATAAATACAACAAATATAAATAAGATAGCTTCAGTTAGCTACAGATGCTGTGTGAAAACACAGTGACATGTATTTAAGGGTAACTGGAAAATTTGTTTTTGGGTACTGAAGGAATTTTAGGAGAAATGACACTTGAGCTGGTGCCTGTATGAATAGAAATCCAGTATATGACAAGCTGAAGGAAGTGCAGACTAGGCAGAGAGAAAAGCAAATACAAAGTTTTGGGTTACAATGGCACACTATTATGTTCACAAACCACCAGGCAGGCCATGTGATGGTATGGGAGGTCCTTCTGTGTATGTGTTGCTTTTATTGGTTAATGAATAAAGAAACTGCCTTGGCCTGCTGATTGGGCAGAACTTAGGTAGGTGGGGAAGATGGAACTGAATGCTGGGAGAAGGAAGGCAGAGAGAAAGAAACCATGGAGCCACTGGAGAGAGACGTGATGAAACTTTGCTGGTAGGTCACAACCTCGTGGTGATGCACAGATTAATGGAGATGGGTTAAACTAAGATGTAAGAGTTAGCTGATAAGAAGCTAGAGCTAATGGGCCAAACAGTGATTTAACGAATACAGTTTCTGTGTTATTATTTTGGGTCTAAGCTAGCCAGGTGGCCAGGAACAAACAAGCAGCCCCTCATATATTAAATAAGTAAGGAGAATTATGATTGAAGAAATCAAATAGAGGAAGTAGCTAGGGGCAAGATCATATATATAGTCATGTAGGGTATGGTAAATTCTTGGAATTTATCTGCTTAGTTGATGTAGGAGGGTCTTCTATCTATCTGTTGCTTTCATTGGTTAATTAATAAAGAAAACTGCTTGGCCTGATAGGTCAGAACATAGATAGGCATGGAAGACAGAACAGAATTGTGGGAAGAAGAAAGCAGAGACAGATGCCATGCTTCTCCTACCCAAGATGGATGGTGGTTAGACTCATGCCGGTAAGCCACAGTCAAGTGGCGATACACATTAATAGAAATGGGTTAATCAAGATGTGAGAGTTAGCCAGTAAGAGGCTAGAGCTAATGGGCCAGGCAGTGTTTAAATGAATACAGTTTCCGTGTAATTATTTTGGCTAAAGCTAGCCGGTGGCTGGGAGCTGGGTGGCAGGAAGTGGCCCGCTGTTCCTTCTACACTTATGAAGACCACTAAAAATCCTTAACTAAGACAATGTTTTTCTGTCCAGCTGTGGTGCACATACCTCTAATCATAGCATTAAAGAGGCAGAAGCAGGTGGATCTCTTTCAGTTTGAGGTCAGCCAAGGCTACATAGTTGTGCCCTGTCTAAAAGAAAAAGAATAAGGGAGATTAATTTTTACTGAAGTATGCGACATATAGAAAAACACAGAAAATAAATTTTGATGAATTTTCATGATGGGGTGACATTCATATCACTACTAATGAGATACCAATTATTACCATAACACTGTAGCATTTTCTTGAGCCTCTTTCCAGTCACATTCTTTCTCCTAGCCAAGGGTAATTACCTTCCTGATTTCTAGCACTAAACATTGTTTATAAAAATTTTATAAAAATTAAATCATATGGTATCTCCTCTTTTGTATCTCTCATCTTTCATTTGATATTATATTCATGAAATTTATCATTTAGAAGTATTCTTTATTGGTGAATTATGGAATTTAATTGCATGATCATACCATAATATATTCATTCTGTTAATGAACATTTGAGTAGTTTCTACTTTGGAACTCATAAATAGTGCTTCCAAGAACATTCTATTATGGATCTTGGTAAATGTATGTATTCACTTTGCTTGGTAGAAAGTTAAGGATGGAATTTCTGGGTTGTAAGGTATGTGCTGTGGAATATTAGTTTAATAATTCAAAGATGTGTAGCATTCTTTAAAGTTGCATTTGTTTAACTCTGTAAAGCTGTGTTACTCTTCCTGCCTAAAACATCTGATTTGTTTAATAAAAAGCTAATCATCCAATAGCTAGACAGGAGAAATAAACAAGAGAAGAAGAGGGAGGAGGGAGAAAAGGAGAAGGAGAGGAAGTTGCTAGGGGCCAACCACCCAGCCACACAGTCAGCCATGGAGTAAGAAGTAAAGTAAAGAAAGACATACAGAATAAGGTAAAAAGTCTAGAAGCAAAACATAGAAGAAGAAAAATGGATTAAATTAAGTTAGAAAAGCTTAATTGAAACAAATCAAATTAAAGCCAGACATTCATAAGTAAGATAAGTCTCCATGCATTTATTTGGGAGCTGAGTGGCAGGTCCCTAAAAGAGTAACAAACAACCAACTACATTTTGGCGTTCCAATGTGAAGCTTGATTTTCCATAGGGCCTGAGAAAGCTTTTTTTTTTTTATTTAAAAAATTTCCACCTCCTCCCAGCCTCCCATTTCCCTCCCCTCCCCCATCTCTTCTCCCCCTCCCTCTCCATTCCGAAGAGCAGTCAGGGTTCCCTGCCCTGTGGGAAGTCCAAGGTCCTCCCCCCTCCATCCAGGTCTAGGAAGGTGAGCATCCAAACTGGCTAGGCTCCCACAAAGCCAGTACATGCAGTAGGATCAAAACCCAGTGCCATTGTCCTTGGCTTCTCAGCAGCCTTCATTGTCCGCCATGTTCAGAGAGTCCGGTTTTATCCCATGCTTTTTCAGTCACAGTCCAGCAGGCCTTGGTGAGCTCCCAATAGATCAGCCCCACTGTCTCAGTGGGTGAGTGCACCCCTCACGGTCCTGACTTCCTTGCTCATGTTCTCCCTTCTTCTGCTCCTTATTGGGACCTTGGGAGCTCATTCCGGTGCTCCAATGTTGGTCTCTGTCTCTATCTCCATTCATCACCAGATGAAGGCTGAGAAAGCTTTTTTTAAAAAGGACATGGCTCCTTTAAGAGTTTCTGATGTACAGTGAACCCTTGAGCAGCCAGTACATTAAGTAGGAACAAAAATCTAAGTAAAAAAATGCCTGACACATTCAGAACACTGGCATTACAGAGCTGGGGGACTGAATGTAGTACTGGGTCACAGATCTCCAACCGGGTTTATGAGCTTTAGGCTTGGCTTTTATGAAACTAAGAAGAGGGTGGAGCCAGTGCCAAAGCCTTAGTGGAGTTCCTAGCTGCTCCTTTGTTCATGAGGTCAGAAAATAATAGAGATAAGCAGAAACGACAGAGTCAGTATGGAAGAAAACTCTTAACAGGTTCCAGTATGTTTAAAAATGTGCATAGGCTTAAGAAAGAAATGAGAAAGAGTATAGACAGTTATAGGAAGAAATAGTTTAAAAATAATAAAGTCTTTAAAGAAAGAGTAAAAGTATTATAAAAAAGCCACATAACAATGGAAAATACACAGGGAGTCTGAATGTTATATAGTGTTGTGTTGATTTTGAATTTTTTGATTGCTGATGAGCAAACAACAACTGCTATAAGAGACATGGGATTGAAAGAGGAACAGCTGAAATAAAGCAGCCTGGATATTTTAAGAATGTCTTAACTTTAAAATGGAACTCAAAAAATGCAGTTTGGAGAAGAGGTTTTGCTTTTATTTCTACAGTAAATGAGAGGCTGTGGATTTCTTCAGGGTTGATATAAATCAGGTTTCATGGTGGGAGACCTCCTGAATCTTGACAGGTGATACCTATCAACAAAGGTTACAGCTGGTCTTCCCAGGACTTGGTCATTACCTCAATTTTCATAGGGACCCTAAAGATGCCTTCACCTAGAGAATTGGAAGCAGTCTGGAGAACCTGATGCCCACATTACCAAGAGATAGGATAGTTAGTTGGTTATTTGATGAGTTATTGATGTTTGTTATCATTTAGGGGAATATAGAAATATAGAAGAAAAAGATAAATTTTAATCTCAACAATAATTTTTTATTGGTATGGATTTTGGTATGTTGATACAAATTTAAAGTTATTTTTGTTATACTGTATATATGTTTCTACTCTTGTTTGGGGTATTGTGCTTATGCAGCTCATTTAAAAATGAAAATGTATAATTAAGAAATGAGGTTGGTAGTTAATCTATAATAATCAAACTTGTAGTCATATTAGGTATGTTTTCAAGGTCAAATAGGTATATTTTAGACAGGTAGATGAAATACTTCAAAGACATATAGAACATAGCATTTAAAGATGTTTAACAGCCTAAGACTTTTCATGATAATAAGACACATCTTCTCCGGGCACCGCTAATTTACTTCATAAAAGGATGATGGGCACAAAAGAAAAACCCACTCCATATACAGTTTGCTTTCAATGTGGCAAGGCTAGTCATTTGGGCAAGAAACGGCTTTTGCCTTGACTATTGATAGTATGCTGTACAGACTCAACAAACAAGACACAGGAAAAAAGTGTTGAACTTGGCCAAGACAAGGTAAGAGAGTTCTTCAAGATTTGTGCTTCACAGAAGAGCCTGATAGATAA